GGGTTCGTCAGAGTTCCACTCAGAGGTGGAAGATGTTATAATCCCAATACTCGGAAGAGCCTTAAATCATGGCTGGACTTCTGTCCTCCCAAACGAGTGGAGCTGCAAACTCTCCACTCGACTCCAACGGCAACTTGGGTTGAACTAGGAAGTACCAAAATTTAAAGGGCTCTATTTCCGGTTCATTTGGGAGTTTCTGATTGGCCGATGGACCAAAACAGAGGTGTGTTTTGTGATGTAAGGTGTTATGAAAAGTCAAGGAAAAGATTAAGATTGTTTAAGAGCAGACAAAGAGATGTTACGAAGAAACCAGACTTCGTGGAGTCCCTTCTCCCAGTATCTTGCTGTAAAAGTTAAACATGACATTTCTTTTCAGTAAACTTTCAGTTGACCGAAACTTGAACTTTGACACACTTACAAACTTCGCTCATTGAAGACAGAAAATCAGACAATGCATCATTCATCATATTTTGGGGGAGTGGTGGCGCAGAGGTTAGAGAGGTGGGCTTGTGATCCGAAGATCGCCGGTTCACGCCCCGGCCCCGACAACATCAAAATTGTGGGTGGGGTAGGTGAAACACCCACACTTGCCCCCACCCTCATTCGCCCCACTCTGGGCCCATGAGCAAGGCCCTTAACCCCCACCATGTGCTCCCTAAAAAACAGGTCTCTCTTGCAAATGAGTTCTCGTGGCTCAATGAGACTAACCTGGATAAATAAAGGCTAAATGAAAAAAATTAACCTGATTCCTTCTTTGAATGAGGATTAAAAATCCTTATTACTGTTTTAAGTAAATAAAAATGAGTAGTTCACTTCAACATGTAAACATTGTTTGAACTAACACAATTTGATTATCAAAACATTTGTAAAATAGTAATGATCATAGAGAATTGTCTTTTTCCACTTGATTAATTCAAGAAAGAAAGTCTCAGGATGGGTCAACCTGTATTTCTGGATGCAAATCAATGAAATGACAGTTTCTGACCATATGATCCTAAGGTCAAGTTTTGAGATCAGGCTTAGTTCACTACACTTGTATATTATATTCATTCACTACATAGACTGATATATTTCAGATGTTTATTTCTTTTAATGTTGATAATTATAACTGACAACTAATGAAAACCCCAAATTCAGTATCTCAGAAAATTAGAATATAACTTAAGACCAATAAATTTTTTTTTTTTTTTTTTTAATGTTGGCCAACTGAAAAGTATGAACATGAAAAGTATGAGCATGTACAGCATCAGTACTTAGTTGTTGCTCCTTTTTGCCTGGATTACTGCAGTAATGCAGCGTGGCATGAAGTCATCAGTCTGTGGCTCTGCTCAGGTGTTATGAGACCAGGTTGCTCTGATAGTGACCTTCAGCTCTTCTGAATTGTTGGGTCTGGCGTATTGCATCTGCCTCTTCACAACACCCCATAGATTTTTTTATGGGGTTATGGTCAGGTGAGTTTGCTGGCCAATTAAGAACAGGGATACCATGGTCCTTAAACCAGGTACTGGTAACTTTAGTACTGTGTGCAGGTGCCAAGTCTTGTTGGAAAATGAAATTGCATCTCCATAAAGTTGGTCAGCAGCAGGAAGCAGGAAGTGCTCTAAAACTTCCTGGTCGACGGCTGCGATGACCTTGGACCTCAGAAAACACAGTGGACCAACACCAGCAGATGACATGGCACCCCAAACCATCACTGACTGTGGAAACTTGACACTGAACCTCAAGCAACGTGGATTCTGTGCCTCTCCTTTTCCAGACTCTGGGACCTTGATTTCCAAATGAAATGCAAAATGTACTTTCATCAGAGAACATAACTTTGGACCACTCAGCAGCAGTCCAGTCCTTTCTGTCTTTAGCCCAGGCGAGACACTTCTGACGCTGTCTCTTATTCAAGAGTGGATTGACACGAGGAATGCGACAGCTTAAACCCATGTCTTGCATACATCTGTGTGTGGTGGTTCTTGAAACACTGACTCCAACTGCAGTCCACTCTTTGTGAATCTCCCCCACATTTTGGAATGGGTTTTGTTTCACCATCCTCTCCAGGGTGCAGTTATCCCTGTTGCCTGTACACTTTTTTCTACCACATCTTTTCCTTCCCTTCACCTCTCTATTAATGTGCTTGGACACAGAGCTCTGTGAACAGCCAGCTTCTTTAGCAATGACCTTTTGTGTCTTGCCCTCCTTGTGCAAGGTGTCAATGGTCGTCTTTTGGACAACTGTCAAGTCAGCAGTCTTGCTCATGATTGTGTAGTCTACAGAACTAGACAGAGACATTTAAAGGCCTTTGCAGGTGTTTTGAGTTAATTAGCTGATTAGAGTGTGGCACCAGGTGTCTTCAATATTGAACCTTTTCACAATATTCTATTTTCTGAGATACTGAATTTGGGGTTTTCATTAGCTGTCAGTTATAATCATAAACATTAAAAGAAATAAACATTTGAAATATATCAGTCTGTGTGTAATGAATTAATATAATATACAAGTTTCACTTTTTGAATGGAATTACTGAAATAAATCAACTTTTTCATGATATTCTAATTTTATGAGCAGCACCTGTATATATAAATTGGTCACTTCAATGATTTGTGGAAACTATGCTTGCTAGTTTTGATATTGCTTAAAATTAGTTTTTTTTTTTTTTTTAAATGGTTGCAGAGACCAAAGATGAATGTTTGGCGATCAAAGCCACCATTGGTCACCCCCCCGGCTCCGCCATTGTTCCTGGTGGTGGGTAAAATTGCTCCCTCCACTCACCAGGATCCATCACTCTGCTCTGCCTCAGACGAGGAAAAAAACAAAACAACAAGATACATCTCTGTTCCTCTGTTCTGTTGCACAGCGTAACTCCTTGAATTTAAAGCAACATTAAGGTTTACTTGCATTCCCTGTTCAATCCCAGTCCAGATAAACACTCATCCCATAAACTTCAAACTTTCACTATTCAAACAGTCTGTAGAACACATCTATTAATTTATTAAAATTAAGCCTAAGTGAATTTACAGTAGTATTATAACCTTTAATGGTATAAGCTACAATTCTTTAGGAAGTGTTTACCACTATGACTTGTTACAGTTCATACACTAATACTGAGCAGCTTTCTGCTCTCGTTAATGGAAGGGAGAGCGCTGACATAAATGACACACAACCCACGGGACTACAAGAAGTAGAGTACTGAACCCAAGGGTACTACTCAACCTAAATATAACTGATGTACAACTGAAGGGACATAGAAATTTAAAAATGTACATTCCTAAGTGATTATTTACAAAGAATTAAACACAAACAATGAATTAGCTCATCTATTTCTGTAATTGTAGGAGTAAGATCAGTTTTCTATTGTTTGTCGTGCTCCCTCATGTTAAAGAACACGATTCACAGGCTTCTCTTAGTCTGTAGGAGCCCATTTCATATTGGCCTGAATAATTATATTAGTGTGAAGTTCACAATATTATAGTTAATTGGGTGTAAATAAAAGGCCAATGTGAATAAATAAGACTAGCCCACACTGCGTCACTGCTGACCGTTTTTTAGCAATCTGACAAACGATGTAAGAATGTTTTTTTTTTTCTTTTATCAGTAGGTCCCTTTTTTCATCTACAAAAAATGTATAAAAGCAAGCTCTGTGTTTGTAAAAGTTTATTGGTTGTTGATTTAATAAACATTTCTGTTTTACATTTACTTGTTACTCAAGTTGTTGTTCCTCGTCACGGACTGAAGAGAAGGAAGTGGAAATGCGCTCCGTCTGTCCGTGTATGCTGTGAGCATAACTTGACAAATAAGTTTGCTACAGACTTATCTTTTGGTGTGTGGCTACATCTAGGTGTAAGAAAGTTTCCTTAAAAAATTGATGGCCATGTCAATATCCAATATAGCTGCCTCCATGTATATGTGAACTGACCACCCGTATCATTTGTGGAAAGTACTATACTTTATAATTTTAATATTGCCTAAAAGTATAGTCTACTCAAATGATTGGTGGCGGCAGAAAATGAATCTATGGTGGGCAAGGCCACCTCTTGGTTCCACCACTGCATCGGGTTGGGAATAAAATGCTCCCTCCACTCAGCAGTATCCTTCTCTGCGCTCCCTCTGATAAGAAAAAAGAAAAACCTTCCTTTATTATATTATACAGTGTAACTTCTACACACTTGAATATCTTGTTCTAAAATCATTCAGGTTTACTTGAATTCCCTGTTCAATTCTAGTCCAGAAAAACACGCATCTGGAAAACTACAAACATTCACTTTTCAAACCCCTCAGTGACGGGGGACAGCCGTGTACTGCTTATTTTTATTAATACTAGTCTATTAGTAAGTTGTTGCCATCAAGGCAATTACACAGGAGTGAATGACGGATGCATTAAAATCAATAGGTTAATTGAACTTTTCTTTACATAACTAAAGTGCCAGGTGATGTTTTTATTCATTTTTGGTTGAAAACATTTTACACCTGTTCAGACACAATGAAATGCCACTGTTAAAAGGTGAATAGTTAAACTGATATGTTTGATTTTTAATTGTTGGTGATGAGGGGAATTTCAGCAAATCTGTACAAATGACCAAAGATGTTTAGATGTTGGTTGTACATATTAAGTTTTTACACAAAATGTTTGCTGCATTTAAACAAGCAAACACATTTAAAATGAAACTAGGTTTAATCGAGTATTTATCAAAGTATAACACTTGCTATAAAAATGTAATCCCTGCAGCTTTGTTGGTCCTCCTCAGTGACATTTTGTATTTTGCTGCAGCCTTTAATAATTCACATAAGTTCAGTTCCCTGACTGAATGCTGATATGAATAAGTTAAAAGTAGCATGCATATTTCTGAACTCATTATTATAATGTGCTTTACATTTCCATGAAACGTTGCATGTATGCTTGGGCTGCTACATTAAGACATAGCTAAATAGTAATACAAGTGCATGAAAGTGTAGTGGTAGATAATTTATTTTTTGATCTTCCCACCTTTGTCCTCTTCATTGTGCTTGGTGATCAGACAAGGCAGTGGTCCCAGGTTCTGAAAAACCACATGAAGGTGTAGCTACATCGCTACACTTTTCTCCCCAACCTGGATTATTCTCAGCTAGCACACATGGGAGCGAAGAGGTGTCAGTAGCTGGACAAGAAGATTCTCCGGTAAAGATTTCTCCAGTTTCCGAGCGAATAAAGGCACTAGAAGCGCTTGCTGCAAAGACGAAGGAACCAGATTTTAGAGGCAATGGAGGTTTCACTCCTCTCAAGGACAGGTTCCATGAGAAATCTCCCTTTGAGGCAACAAAGTCTCCCTTTGAGGCAACAAAGTCTCCCTTTGAAGCAACAAAGTCTCCCTTTGAGGCAACAAAGTCTCCCTTTGAGGCAACAAAGTCTCCCTCTGAAACAACAAAGTCTCCCTCTGAAACAACAAAGTCTCCCTTTGAGACAACAAAGTCTCCCTTTGAAGCAACAAAGTCTCCCTTTGAAGCAACAAAGTCTCCTTTTGAAGCAACACAGTCTCCCTTTGAAGCAACACAGTCTCCCTTTGAAGCAACAAAGTCTCCCTTTGAAGCAACAAAGTCT